AGCATCTAGGTTGCTTCCGGATTCTGGCTGTTACAAATAATGCTGCTATAAACATAGTTGAACAGATGTCTTTGTTGTATGAATGTGCATCCTTTGGGTATATGCTTAAGAGTGGAATTGCTGGATCTTGAGGTAGACTGATTTCCATTTTCCTGAGAAACTGTTATACTGAATTCCAAAGTGACTGTACAATTTTGCACTCCCATCAGAAATAGAGGAGCATTCCCCTTTCTCCACATCCTCTCCAGCATAAATTGTCAGGTATATTTTTATTTTAGCCATTCTGACAAGAGTCGGGGGATGAATAGAGGAGAGCAAGAACAGAGATACCTTAATAGAGAGAGCCATTATAGGTTTAAAGAGAAATCTGGCACTAAGGAAATGTGCAGAGATCCACAAGGATGACCCCAACTAAGAATCTAAGCAATAGTGGAGAGGCAACCTTAAATGCCCTTTCCCTATAATAAGAATGATGACTACCTTAAACACCATCCTAGAGCCTTCATTCTGTAGCTGATGGAAGCAGAAGCAGACACCCACAGCTAAACACTGAGCTGAACTCCTGGAATCCAGTTGTAGAGAGGGAGGAGTGACGAACAAAGGGTCAAGGCCATCCTGTGGAAGCCCACAGAAACAGCTGATCTGAACAAATGGGAGCTCACAGACCCTAGTCTGACAGCTGGGGAGCCAACATAGGACTGAGCCAGGCCCCCTGAATGTGGGTGTCAGCTAGGGGGCCTGGGTAGTCTACAGGGACTCTAGAAGTGGAACCAGTGCTTATCCAGTGCATTAACGGACTTAGGGAGCCCATTCCCCATAGAGGGATACTCTTTTAGCCTAGATACATGGGTGAGTGCTTAGACCCTGCCCCAAATGACTTGATAGACTTTGATGATCCCTCATGGAAGGCCTCACTTTCCCTGGGGAATGGATGGGTGATAGGATGTGGGGGGCTTGGGGGGGATGGGAGGATGAGAGAGAGAGGGAACTGGAATTGATTTGTAAAATAAGATTGGTTCTAATTTAAATAAAATTTTAAAAAAAAGAAAGCCCACAGAAACAACTAACCAGGCTCATAGGAACTCCCAGAGTCTGAACCAACAACCAGGGAACCAGCCTAGGTCCTGTACATATATGTGACAGTTGTTTATCCTGGTCTGCTTGTAGGACTCCTAACAACAGGAGTCGGGGCTGTCCCTAGTGCTTTGGCTGGCTCTTGGAAACCTATTCCTCATTCTGGATTTCCTTGTCCAGCCAGAGGCACTTAGTCTTACTGTAACTTGATAATACCATGTTTTATTGTCTTATTGATACCCATGGGATGCCTGCCCCTTTCTGAACAGAAACAGAGGAAGAGTGAATGGGGAGGGCAGAGGGAAAGTGGGGGGTGGGAAGAGAGGAGGGAGGGGAAACTGTGGTTAGGATATAAACCAGGTTAATTAAATAAAAATAAATACGTAAAATCGACTGAAAACTCACTCTGCCGTGATTCACATGTGTTGCTAACTCCCATGGTCATAACAGTTTCGATTGTAAAACTCTTGACTACAGGAAATGTAGAGGGCAGGTGTGTGTGAAACCCAAGACCTGTTTGGTTTGAAATTCTACCTAACCCTTGTCATCAACCTTCCTCCTAGAAATCAAGGGCAGCAGGGCCATTGCTATTTCCATCTACGTGGATATCTGTGGAACACGATTTGTTGTCTTCCTGCTTGGCCCTGTCAGACCCTGCCTGCCTCTCCTATTGTTTTTTGCTGGGATGAAAGAGTTATTTCACTCCCTTGCCTTTCCTCTTTCTAGAAGCTCCCTGGGCCCCTGGCTCAGCAGAGTTTCTGCAGCCTTTATTTTCTGAATCCCATTAGTGCAGTAAAGTGCTTAGAAGGCCCAGGGGAGGCTGAAAGAAGGAATAATGTTGGTGTCCTGGGGGGAATCGGTAGCCTTAGGCCTTTCACTGTAGTACTATGACAGAGCCAGACAGATTGGAGGATTCCCCTTTCTCCATAAGTACTTGAAGTCAGGTATGCCAATGGGGACCAGAAAAGAAAAATGTCTCCTCCAAGCTAAAATGAGCCACAGCAACACTGAGCCCACAGTTGTCCGCACTGATTCTCTCTGGGTGGGCCACATTCACAGGCACCAGGCACAGTCTTGTAACGTGCTTTTCCCCAACAGTCAGTTAAATCTTGGTTTTAAATGCCAAGTGTACATTTCAAGGACATTATGTGGATGGATTTGTGACAGTGCCTAGAGGACTTGGGGTCTATAAAAATGGAGAATAAATTACAGGGAAATATAAATATGGCATTTTCATCATCGACAGCTGTAACAGCCTCACAGCATAGAAGGAAATCACTGGTTTCCTGTAGGTGCTCATGTTTAGTGGTGCTACAAAGAAGTGTGCCACTGAGCAGGAAACAGAGTTAGGCAAAAAGTGACTAAAGTGGTGCCATCTAGAGAGCCTGACCACCCAGGAGAAAAGGAAGGCATGTGCATTTCTGCTTCCAGCCACGGAAATCTGTTTGTAGTCAACAGCAGGAAGGCAGCTGAACAAGAGAATGGTGGGACAGCTTCATGGACCACTGGAGAGCAAGTGTGTAATGGGGGATGTCCTTCTGTATGCTGTGAATATGTGTTTCTCTTATTGGTTGATGAATAAAGCTCTTTTGGCCAATGGACAGGAGGGATGTAGCCAGGCAGGAAAGATAGGCGGGGCTAACAGACTAGGAGAGTTTTGGGAAGAGGAACACCTAGAGAGACTCGAGAGAGAGATGTCATGTAGATGCTGAGGGAGAAAGAGGTCTTGGCATCACTGGTAAGCCAAGACCATGTGGAGATACACAGATTAATAGAGGTAGGTTAATAATTAAGAGAGAGATAGCCAATAGGAAGCCTGAGCCATCAGTGAAACAGTTTATAATTAATATAGGTTATTGTGGGTTTCTTTGGGACTAAACAGATGTGGGACCAGATGGGACAGAAACTTCTGTCAACAGATATGTGGCAAGGAAAGACCAGGAGATAGGTGGTTACATGAGTTCACCTAGGATGTGAGACAGTTTGACCACTAGTGGTCCCTGATGCTCATCTACTTGAGAAAAGTATCTTCAATAATACTGTTTTTCTTAGCTAGGAGTCTCCGTAGGCAGGACACACAACATCAAATCTTCCTACCTGCCCCACTCCCAATCACACACACAGTAACTATGGATACTATAGCAACACCAGATCTACCATGACCCTACCATTCTGTGGACTTGTGATATCTTCCCATTTCTCTTTAATTCAAGATCTGATCTTGGATTAGAGATTTAAGAGACAATGCCTGCTAGATTTCAGGATGTTGAACTATTTTGGACACAGGGTGGGCCCAAAGACCTACAGTCTAGTAGTCACAGCCTGGAGATCCAAAAAGGGGAAATAATTCATATTTCAAGGTTGAAACAACAAAGATCTGTACTACTTAGTTTTCCTTTTAATATTAGGTTAAGAAAATTTGTTGCAAAGTAGTTACCAGAACTTCTAAATGCCCATGGCTCACTCACCACTCAAGGACCATCAGTGTTCTTCTGCAAACTTGTCTCTTAGTTCTGCCTCCTCCCCTCCTGCTCCATTTGTTTGCATTCCTTGTTTGTTTGCTTGTTTGTTGAGACAGGGTCTTACCCTATCTCACACTGGCTTAGAAGTCACAGCAGACCTTTGGTTTCAGCCTTCCATGTGCTGGGATTATGGAGTGATTTCTTTCTTTTTTTCAGAGTATGTTAAAACAAATCTCAAACCTGTCATTTCATTTGTAACATCTTAAAAGTTTAAGACCATTTCTTTTATGTAATCACATTAGCCACTACTTTTAGGAAATTCATATCCCCTCCAACTCATTATTTCTCAATATCATGAAATCCTGTCTTCAAAGTTCCCTAGTTATTTATAAAATGTCTTTTCCTAGCTTTTAAAAAATCATAATCTGAACAAGGGGTTAATCTATTACTTGATTTTCCAAGCAATTATGTATAACTTTCTCTTTTAAAGTAGCTTTTAAAGTTATTTTCTGTGCATATGCAATCATGTGAGTACACACCATGGCATGTGTGGAGTCAACTTGCAAGGGCAACTTGAAATAGTTGGTTCTTTATGTTCTGTGGGTTCCAAGGGAGAAAAGTCAGGTTGGCAGGCCTGGTGGCAAGTGCCCTTGCCCACTGAGTCATATCACCAGTCTCCCCCTCATCTCTTAACAAAAGTTTTCTCCCTTCCTCCTGCGCTTCCTTTGCCCCTACCTTCCCCAGTTACTTTATAGAGTACTCCACTTTGTGTATTTTATAGACCCAAGTTAAGTGTCTTAACTTTAATCAGCTATGTCACTCACTTGTGGACATGAAGTCTTCGCTAGATTCCAATTTATTCATTCCTTCATTTGGGAGCTTGTTTTGGGCAAGAATATTTCTGTGGGGTTCCTCTACAGAGTACCACGTTTCGTTCAGCTAGACTCACACTGATGATAGTGTGGCTACAGACAACCTTTTTCTCTCTCAGTCCTAGGCCTGTGCATGCTAGAAAACACCCTTGGTTTTTGTTTGATTGTTTGTTTGTGGGTTGTTTGTTTTGCGTGTGTATGTGCTTACATCATCGTTAAATTCATAATCTTCCTACCCTCACATTTTGGCTTACAGTCAATGCCTTGCTAACAAAGTGTGTAATTTTCTTAATATCCTCTAATCCCATCATTCAGAGTTCTCTGATGGACTACAAATGTCTTTTACCCACTGATTTATTTGAATCATAGTCTAATCAAGAGGGAGTACTTTACTGTTATTCTTTGTGGTAGCTTATTAGAAACCTGTAACAAATATGATTGTGAATAAACATTTTGTGTTTTTGCAAGTATATTTTTGGGAAAGATTACTAGACGTGAGACTGCTTCTCAAAAGGTAAATCACACATAATTTTGCTAGATAGTGAATCTAATTACTAAATCCAATATTAATTTGTATTGCTTTTCCCATCAGAAAGAAACCAATAAAACATACAACTGTGAAAATTTGGGTCTCAGTGAAATTCCTGGCACTCTATCAAACTCAACAGAATGTTTGGAGTTCAGCTTTAATTTCTTGCCTACAATTCAAAATACGACCTTCAGCAGACTTGTAAATCTCACCTTTCTGGATTTAACCAGGTAGGTATTTCAGCTCCTTGCATGTTTTTGACATTTTACTTAAGCAAAACCATACTGTGCTTCCCAAGCATCTGAGGCACAGATAAGCTGCTGTGCATTTATTTTTCTGGTACTACGACGTATTGTAAATTAAGGCCAGTCAACTAGGAGGTAAGTATTCTGATCCCCAGCTCTGCTTCAGGTGCTGTTTAGGAAGGTCTAAATCAGTGGTCTCAACCTGAGGGTCACAACCCTTTTGGGTGTGGAATGACCCTTTCACAGGGGTTGCATGTCAAATATCCTGCATATCAGATATTTACATTACAATTCATAACAGAAGCAAATTTACAGTTACAAAGTAGCAATGCAAAATAATGTTATGGTTGAGGCTCACCACAACATGAGGAACTGTATTAAAGGGTTGCAGCATTAGGAAGGTTGAGAATCACTGTTGTAAGGAGTATTGATGACAAAAATGAAAACAAATCTTGACCAAATCAGATGCAATATTAACATGCTTACATAAAATAAATGGTCTTAAACTTTTAAGATGTTAAAAATGAAATGACAGGTTTGAGATTTGTTATAACATACTCTGGAAAAAAATAAAGAAATCACTCCATAATCCCAGCACTTAGTTCTTCCTATCCTGTGGGTTCTCCTTTACTTTGTACTGATAATATGCTATTTTGCTATTGTGCACAATGGATTTCTTCACCCATTGCTGTGCTGATGTTTGTTCTTTTGTCCTTGTATAAGTGATTGCTAAATGCTCTTATTTCTTTGAGGTGCCAGATTTACTGGATACATGAAGATACCTTCCAAAGCCAACATCAGTTAGACACTCTTGTGCTAACTGCAAATCCCCTGATATTTATGGCAGAAACAGCACTTAATGGACCCAAGTCACTGAAACACCTGTTCTTCATCCAAACAGGGATGTCCAGTCTTGACTTTATCCCCATGCACAATCTGAAAAACTTGGAAAGTCTATATCTTGGAAGCAATCACATTTCCTCCATTAAGCTCCCCAAAGACTTCCCAAAAGAGAAGCTGAAGGTTCTGGATTTTCAAAATAATGCTATCCATTACCTGTCTAAAGAAGACTTAGGGTCTCTGCAGCAGACCACTAATCTGAGCCTTAACTTAAAGGGAAATGGCATCACAGGAATAGAGCCTGGGGCTTTCAAGTCAACTGTCTTCCAAAGGTTGGACTTTGGAGGGACTCTTGATTTGCTGGTTATATTCAAGGGTTTGCAGAACTCCACTGTCCAGTCTCTCTGGCTGGGGACCTTTGAGGACGTCAATGATGAAGACATTAGTTCCTCTGTGTTTGAGGGTCTCTGTGAAATGTCTGTTGAGAGCATGTACCTGCAGAAGCATCACTTCTTCAACATCTCGTCCAGCACATTCCACTGCTTCACCAGCCTCCAGGAGCTGGACCTTACAGCCACTCACCTGAAAGAATTACCCTCTGGGATTGTGGGACTGAAAAGCCTCAAGAAATTAGTTCTCAGTGCAAATAAGTTTACTAGCTTGTGTCAAATCAATGCAGCCAATTTTCCCTCCCTTACACACCTTTACATCAAAGGCAACATGAAGAAACTTGACCTTGGTACTGGCTGTTTAGAAAACCTAGAAAATCTTCATCTGCTTGATCTAAGTCATGATGACATCGAAATTTCTGATTGCTGCAACATGCAACTCAAAAACCTGTCTCACTTACAAAGCCTAAACTTGAGCTATAATGAACCCCTGGGCCTAAAGACAGAGGCATTCCAAGAATGTCCTCAGCTAGAACGCCTGGATTTGGCATTTACCCAATTAAGGGTTAGTACTGAACAAAGTCCCTTCCAGAACCTCCATCTTCTGAAGGTTCTAAATCTCTCCCACTGCCTCCTTGACACCAGCAATCAGCATGTCCTCGATGGCCTACCAGTGCTCCAGCATCTGAACTTACAGGGAAACCACTTTCCAAATGGGAATATCCAAAAGACCAACCCACTTCAGACACTGGAAAGCCTAGAAACCCTAATTTTATCATTCTGTGATCTGTCCTCCATAGACCAGCAAGCCTTCATCAGGCTCAAGATAATGAATCATGTAGACCTAAGTCACAACAGGCTGACATCCAGTAGCATTGAGGCTCTTAGTCATCTTAAAGGGATCTACCTCAATCTAGCTTCCAACCACATTGACATCATCCCATCCAGTCTCCTCCCCATCTTGTCCCAGCAAAGAACCATTAGCTTAAGAGGAAATCCCCTGGACTGCACTTGCTCAAATATTTACTTTTTAGAATGGTACAAAGAAAACATGCAAAAGCTTGAGGACACAGAGAACACTTTTTGTGCAAATCCTCCATTGCTGAGGGGAGTCAGGCTATCTGATGTCACGCTGTCATGTGGCATTACAGCTGTGGGCATTTTCTTTCTCATTGTATTCTTGCTTTTGTTCACTGTTGCATTGATTTTTGCAGTGAAATATTTTCTCAGGTGGAAATACCAACACATTTAGCTCAAGGTTTCCAGAGAAGGTACGTGTTCAGCAAAATTGTCCTAAGTAAAGAAACTGTCATCTACAGGTGAATAGACTCAATTGGTTCCCAGAGCTGGGCTGGGCTTCACTGAGCTTTTCTGGACATTTCTTACTAATAGGAGTCTCCTACGGTGGTGGAGCTAGAGGACCAGGCACTGCTGTGAGACATAGAGCCACTTGTACCTGTGAGATGTGACCACATTCACTGAAGCCTCCAAAGCAACCCCACCCATCTGAGAAAGGAGAGCACCAAGCATCACCCACCCACCCTGCTGCCCAACCGTCTGTGCTGGGGCCAACCCTGTCCCTCTCTCTCTCTCTCTCTCTCTCTCTCTCTCTCTCTCTCTCTCTCTCTCTCTCTCTCTCTCTCTCTCTCAAACACACACACACACACACACACACACACTTCTGACATTTTGCTTGAGACTGAGCTCTCTGTAATTGAGCCTTTTGGGAAAGTTAGGCCCTGGCAAAGTCTCAGTGCTCATTTTAAATGATAAAGGTTAAAAAATAGAGTGAATTTAAAAGAAAAGACAATGTAATAAATTCCACTCTCAACTAGATTCTATTAGTTACCTAAATTATTTGCTTTCTAAGGTCCAGAGGAGCCCCTAGGGTGCCAACAGTACAAAAGTTTTAAAGCTCCTCCTCACCCATCTCTGAAGGTACAATTTCATTCTTTTCACAACAAGGAGGCCCCCTTCCCTGTTTGTTCTTGTGACTCTTGGATTGCAAACTTAGAGGTGGGCTGTGGTCCAAACTGCTCTTTTTATCATCCAGGTTCCTGGTCCTTGGACTTCTCTCCCATAGGAACAGGGGGATGAATCATGTCAGGTTCCCAGACTGGCTTTCCAAAGCCTGTTCCCCTTGGAGAATATTGAAGAACACCTTCACAATGGAACCTTGTGGATTTATGTGTCCCTGCACACTGGCTGTTGGGAACATGATAAGGGAGAAGAGATTTCTGTTCAGTCCAGGGGTATTCCCTAAGGTTGTGGCAGTGACAGAAAATATGGGGCTATTGAATGCAGATAGACAGAGAGGACAAGACAGTTGACAATATCACAATTTAATCCCCCGCCAAGTTCCCAAATCCTTCTAATGTAGGCTGATTCTCCTGAAGTCTGAATTACTGGTTGAAACTTGGTAACTGTGATGTTTACAATTACTGTTCCCTGAATTCAGAGATTTAGGCAATAATGGATTGATAATATTTTTAAAACATTGCACACATACTAAATATATATATACTTCTTCATTTCATCATTCCCTGAATAATATAACTATTTACACAGCATATATGTCATGTTACATACTGTTAGTAGGCAATAAAAAGTATATGGAAAGATGATGCGAGTTATATGAAAATACTATGCTATTCTATTTCTGTTTAAAGCACTTGAACATTTGAGAATTCTAGTATCTCTGAGGACTCCTGAACCCAATTTCCCCCATGAAAACCAAGGGACTGATACATAAGGCCTTGATTAAATTTCATAACCAACTTTAGGTTAGAGATGTTAACTAATTATGTATTGTTGATGGAGTATCAAAGAATGATTGACCGATGGCTGCTAGCATCCAGGCAGAATGATAAGATTAGCATGTCTTCTCTCCACCCCTGGCAAAGCTGCTTAGAGGCAGTAGCAGCTGGTATGAACCTCTTTCCTGCTTAGGGACTTCATCCTTTCTCACATGGTCAGTCCGTGCTCCGGAAGCCCCCACAGTCCGTCCTCACATCCTGAGACTTGCAGGCATGGTTTCCTCTTTGGAAAGTGGCTTTTTCCTATATAGTCAATGCAAAGCCAACGGTGAATGATGCCCCGACTAGTGAACTCTCCACCTCCTTTACTGCCTTTATGGCTCTTCTTCCGTGTCCAGAGTCATGGCTGGGACGTGATGCTGTCCCAGGTTGTGTGTGCTCAGGCTCACGCGTGTGAATGTTCATTTGGAGGTCAGATGTTGAGGTCAGGAGACTGCTTCCCCATCTTACTGTTTTGAGACAGGTCCCTCACTGACTGTGGAGCTCTCCCCAACTTCAGGGATCTATCTACCCATCTCCAGGCTCTACCCCAGTTCTGGGGTTATAAATGCACACACCAGCTGCCAATCTTTTTACACAGGTGCTATGGAACTGAACTCAGTCTGCAGGCTTGTGCAGAAAGCACCTTACTCACTGAGCCTCCCTGCACGGCTCTCATGATTTATATTTTGGATAATTGCTAAGATTTTGTAGGCCTCTGGTCCTGAGATTTTATCAGTGGTTGCTACATTGGCCATGCCCATCCCCACTTACTCTTAGTTCTAGTCAGCATCTCCAGAGCTTCCTGCACTGCATCTCGCATATATTTCTCACTAGAAATACCCAGAGCAATCTGGTAATAAAAGATGCCTATGCCAAGACTCCAGTAATTAGAATATTGTTGCAATGAGGTTAACTCCGATTCCTAGTCATTGACTGAGTCCCTGTGACATCCCAGCCTCCTCTTCCTCATGTTTCCTCCTGTTACCCCCGTTTCAAAGTGTAGGTGCATTCCACATTCAGAATGCTGTCTTAGAAAACAGCAACCCTGCGCAGCAGCCACTCAGCTGCCAGAACCATTCTCGCCTGAGTGGCCATTCCTTCTACCAAGAACCAGGATGTTCTCCTGGTCCAGGCTGCAGCTAAGGGCCATGTATGGGTCTGTGTAGGCCAGCTACAGTTGTGGATGTCTATGGCCTGCATCACCTCAGGAGGCCTTAGGAACCATGTGAGATGAAATCAGAGGGCTATGCTGAACCTGTGTCACCCTTTGCTGACCCTGGGAAAGCTGGCTTTGCCTCTCGAGGGACACTACAGCAAGAAAGCTGGCCTCTGCACACTGGAGAGATAACCTCATGCTTCACCACAGGCCAAGATGAACCAACCCTAAGGGCATGCCTGTAGGGGGGCTGACTCTATCCCCTCACCCAAGGGGGTGGCTCCAGGGAGCCCGGACTGACCAGCTCAGCTACTACTCAGGCCTACAGCCAGGCCTTGGGTTGGCCCCATCTAGAACCTGCTGGAGCTGGTGAAGGGACTGGTCTTGTAGAATGATACCCACAACATCACCAAGACTTGTGGCAGCCACGGGATATCCCAGAAGAGTTCTGAGAGGATCCAGTGAGGATGGTGTGCCAGACACCAGAGGCCTTGAACCAAACCTGTGACTCAATACAATGAACATTTGCCAGTAAAACTGATGGGACAAAGGAGTATACTATATGGCACACTGAAGCCCCCAATGCTACCAGGACAAATGAAGAGGTGTTGGAGAGGTAGGAAATACACAGAAAAGCTAAGAGATTTTCCTGTTGTTGTGTTTTTTGTTTTGTTTTTGTTTTTGAGGTTTTTTGTTTGTTTGTTTTGTTTTGCTTTTGCTTTTGCTTTTGCTTTTGTTCTATTGCTTGCTTGCTTTGATTTGTTTCCTTTTGTGGGGAGGCACAGGAGGGGTGAGGGGAGGGTATGAGGGAACCAGGAGGAGAGCAGAATTGGGGTGCATGATGTGAAACCAAGAGTCAATAAAAAAACTAAATCTAATAAATAAATATTTAAATAAATAAAAGCAAGAAAACACTAACCAATTGGACTGCCTCTCTAGTCTGTCAGATGTCAGCTGACTCTTGCCTTGGGGATGTAAACTGAAGATGGAGGACACTAATTGTGAATCTATCACTCTATAATACTCAATACGTAACTTGGAAAACCCAAAGATTCTGTAGAAATTTTCTGCTATGGGTGCATTACACGAAGCTTCCCAGTGTCTCGAGCTTGGGCGAGGCCTGACTGCCCCGTGTTGCTCTCCTTTGTCATCGCACTGATCCAAGGCTCAACGACAGGCCCTCTGTATTAAGCAACAGTAAATTCTCCCCACAGAGTCAGGAAGGCAGCTTTTTGATGACTGCTGTCAATTTTATTGCTTTATCTGGTTACTCGGAGAGGATCTGTAGACATCGTGCATTTATTGGTTTTATGTATTGCATGTTGTTGCTGCTCTGACAAGCTACACCTATAAAAATGTGTTATTATTGCATGATGTAGCCCCGTGAGCTGACCCTGAATTTCAAAGTGTACTGGAGCAAATTGCAGTGAAGTCCATAAAAGCTGACTGGCCTCCATCACAAAGGACTCTCTGCGTGAGCTGCAGCTCCTATAATCCAAGGAAGAATTATACCCTTCCCTGTACCTGCAGCCATTGCTATTAACTGAGCACAGCACACTCCCAAACACAGGCATTATCTGAAAAATCCTAAGACAGGATGCTGTAGGTTGCTCTGATTTGTCCAAGTCACTGAGAGGATGCCAGTATAATTTTGAAGTTTACAAAAGAATGAAATAACTGGCTTGCTAGTGTAGCATCAGTCCATGGTGTGGGTGGAGTTCCCACCAGTGTTTTCTCTCTTCTCTGAATGCAGAACAGGCACCCAAGTTACAGCAATAGAAAGTGGTTATCTCTAACCTGGGAGGCAACTGTTGGACATGTTAAGAGTGCAACTGTCTAGCACAGTGGGGGTTAACCTGTGGCACAGAGGAATAACCTAGCCTATAGCAGCTCCCAAGCCTAGTTGAACAGCAGAATCACCTGGAAAATCCTTGGCAAAACAGAAGTCTTCAACCTTCCTCTGGACATTGGCCCCCACTTTCCACCCAGTGATTTTGCATAAAATCATTTCTAATGCCTAAAATTTCTATTTAACCAATCAACTCAGAAGCTTGTTAGGCTCCACAATGCACATAAACAAAAGACTGTAGACTTACAGCACAGTGGAGAAACCCCAGGTGTAAGAGCTCCTGTTTTCCTCGTGCTACATATTGATGTCAGGTGGGCAAGGCCGGGGCTGTAAGCCAGGACTAGAGAACAGGATGCACCTGTGGCTATCAGCCGACAAGCAATGCACAGAAATCCGTGGGGGCTGGGGCCCAACACCTCTGTCCAACTTTTGGAAAGGAACTTCCTTTCCTGGGATATGAAGACAGATGAAAGCCTGAAGATTTAAATAAAAGATGAGGCATCCGGCCGTTTGGTGCTAAGAGAATGCATGTGCGTGTGTGGGGGGTAAGGTAAGGCGTGAGGAGCCTTATACACCTGATACATTACACTTGTGAGTGGAGGTCTCACTGAGATTTTAAGAGACTTAGAATGATCGGGAAAGCGACGAAACTAGGGAAGTAAAGGAATTGAAAATGGGTACCTCAACTTGTAACACTTAGTAAAATTGAATGATTAAATCTCAAGGCTTTTGACTGCAGGGATTGCCCTTGGTTGGAGGGTGGACTGGTTTAAATCTCCAGTCTTTCACCCGTCACCGAGGTCGGAAAAGAAAGGGGAACCTGAGAGATTGCCCTCAGAGGCTGGTCAACAAGTAACGATTTATGAGGGTGTATTGGAAAAGGGTACCAAGTTAGGGGTACCAGGCTAACTATCCAGGCTTTCACTCAACACGGAGGTTGGGAAAGAAAGGGGAACCTGAGAGATAGCCCTTGGAGGATAAGGGTGGACTGAAAACAGTTACCAAGTTATGGGTACCAAGTTAAAAAGGAAAAAGTAAAAGAAACAAGGTACAGGTATTTGTAAAATTGTTGAAGAAATAGGAGTACTGATAGAATTGTTAAGGAAATAAGGTACTGGTGCTAAGCAAAAGACAGCTAAAGACTTCATTTTAACTTTGGAAAAGGCAATACCGTGGTCTTGACACTAAGATGGAAAGTACACGGGAAGTTTGGATGCTATGAGCAGTTGTGTTGTCTTTGAATTGTGTGACTGCTTAGGAAACAGCAACTGCTAAAAGAAATGCCGCTAAGTGTTGCCAACTTAAATTTTGAAGTCAAAGCATTTTCAAAATATATAAGTACAACGACAGGTTATTTGGGAAGAGAGTATTTGTTTGTGTTTCCACAGAAAACAAAAAGCTATAGATCCCTTCCAGAGGTTAATATGGGTTGATGAAGTAAGACCACCTGAAACAGTGTCCCAGGTGATCCAACATCTAAAACAGCTGAGATGATACAGCCTTGCAGACTACAAAAAACAGCAGGAAGTAATTTGGAAAAAATGACACATTCTCAAATATTGTTTATAAATGTTTGCTTTCTCATTTACACAGGGTTGGTTATTGATACATATTTAAGGTCAATTTTGTGAGTCATCTCTAAAAAATTTTGGTGGAAAGTCTGGCCTCTCCACCCTGCATCTACAGAATTATAAGTGAGTAGCTCAGAACTTCTCAAATGGAGGGATTATGAGGGGCATGCAGGATGTTTTCAACCTTTTGTTTTAAATCAAGGATTGGCTGGAGCTGTTCTGTCACAAGAGATTTCAATTAAGGAAGTCTCATTTCAACAAAATAATCATGACCTAGTGGGGGGGAAAAGGATGACTAAAAGATGTATGTTCTGTGTGTTGGGTGTGGCCACGCCAGTATGCATGAAATGTGACTGTGAATGTCAACTACTTAAATTGCCTTAGATATAACTAAAAGGATAATAGCCAGAAAGAACGTCCAGCCTGTCCGTGTCTTAACAGGAAAGGGTGGCGATTTGAGTCCTCAGAGCCAGTCAGTGGAAAAATAACAAAAGCCTACAACTTTTTTTTTTTTTTTTGGTTTTTTGAGATAGGGTTTCTCTGTATTGTTTTGGAGGCTTTCCTGGAACTCACTCTGTAGACCAGGCTGGCCTTGAACTCACAGAGATCTGCCTACCTCTGTCTCCCGAGTATAACTTCCTAGATTCTGAGGCTGGGTCAGATAGAGACATCCATACACTAGACAGCCGAAGAAACTCAATTTGGGGTGGAGGGAACATTTGTGCGAGATGGCTGCCAGACTGTTTGGGGAGAGAAGAACCAGACCGAAAACTGTGAGAGCCTGCCCAAGCCAATTCCGGTGAGTCATGCTGAACCAGTGTTCCTGACCCTTGATGTCATCAAATCTACAGAGTTCCAGTTTCTCAATCTTGCAAGCTACTGGATGGAAGGTTCCTCTGTCCTGATCACCCGGATGCCCGGAGTTGCCCAGTATATTTCTCCAGAAAGATACAACTTGCCCTAATGTGGCAAAAAAGGCTTTGGCATCCCTGTTGGGGTGGTCCCAGCTTTTGCTGTTGCTGATACAGCAGCCGTTGTATCTGGGATTACCATCTCACAGTCTGTAACTACAGTCAGCACAGTGGATAAACTGGCAGGGGAAGTAATGGAGACTCTTCCGAGATCAGACGAGATCGGGCGCATTCAGAGTGGTATGGCCGTAGACAGTAATGGAGACTCTTATCACTCAGAGCTCCATAAACAGCTTAGTCCAAGTCGAAATTCTACTTGATCACCTACCTACTGTGCAAATTTGTGTTACCCATGCCAAAGCTAATACTTATCAATTGACCAATCAAATTACTAGAATAAACAAGACCTGGGTTCCTTCGTCCCCTAGAGAGATCCTCCTTGGGGGGATTATAGATGGCATGCCATTTAATCAAAGAATGGGTTGGGTCCCTATCTCTGGACCTTTTAGCCATAGGACTTATTTCATTTGGAAGGCACCTCGGCGCTAGACAAGCCCAGGCTCATTTTGTCACTCGAAAGCGACAGAATCCTTCAGCTCAACTATGGTTGACCCTACAGAAAAGTTAGGCAGCCAATATTGGGTGAGACTAAGGGGGATGCCATTCAACCTAAGACAGGAGGGTCATGCAGCTTGGGTGATTTCTCCATTGATGGGTAATGCTGGTGTCACCTAGTCACCTAAGACAGGAACTAATTTATATATAAAGAAGGGGAAAGATGTTGGGCCCCAGCCCCCACGGATTTCTGTGCATTGCTTGTCGGCTGATAGCCACAGGTGCATTCTGTTCTCTAGTCCTGGTTTACAGCCCGACCTAACGTCAATATGTAGCACGAGGAAAACAGGAGCTCTTACACCTGGGGTTTCTCCACTGTGCTGTAAGTGTGTTTATAAGCTGGCCTTGAACTCAGATACACACACATACATTCTCCTGGCAATAAACATGGCTTGCACACAATTCTCTTAGCACAAACAGCTGGACACCTTGTCTTTTATGTAAATCTCCAGGTTTTCGCCGGATACATTAGACTTGCTTGTGTCACAGGCGCCACACAGAGGTGATTGCCAAAGCCCTCAATTCCGAGGGACAGTGTCCTGTCAGGCAACTTGACAGTGTCTCTGGCCATCACAGCTGGGCTGCAAGACACTGTCCCTGCCGCCATTCTATCTCTCACCTCTTCCCTACCCACCCCTGCCACTATTCTCTCTCACCTCTTCCCCACCCACCCCTGCCGCTTGCTAACCACTTGAAAGTGAAATCATGGATTGGGTATTATGTACCTTGAAAAGAATCTATGGCTTAGACTTAAATATTGTTGCTCAGAAAAGATTAGGCAGGGCCGATCATGAAAGCTTCTCTGCTCTTCTCTTAATGCTCTCTGAGCAGCTGGCTGTGGGTCTAAATCTGGCAAAGGACAGCAGACGGCAAAGCAGGCCTCAGAGCATTCAAGCGTTCATTCCTTCCTCTCCCTTTCGTTTGTCCCACAGGCCTTCTACACTCCTTCCTCTTCCTCTCTTGTTGATAGGG